AATACTGTATCTGCACAAACTACCTTGGTTTTATTTTTCTAGTCAACAAAGTCCTTTAATGACTTCTTGAAATGCCCCTCAAAACTATTAAATGATTCTTGTGCTATATCTGATGTCCAAAGTCTAGTTTGTTTCAATTAAATGTAAAACCTTATTCACTAGAAAAATAATTTTTTCTTTTGGCAGTAAATGTAGATCTAAAATGTCATTGTACCTTTGTTTACCCTTCAGGATTTATATAATTTTAAATGTCTTTTTATTTTCTGCATTAAGTTACTAAAGGGCTAAGGAAAGTATTAAAGATGGTCCCTGTTCATGTGCCTGTGGTGACCTTGATGGGACCATCTACTAAAGGCTGCCTTCTCAGTGGGTTGGGCTCACTGGCTGGCTCTAGAGCACTGAGTCATTCACCTATCTCAAGGTTGTCACTTCCTAGCTTCAGGGGTCTGGCCAGTTTTGGGGGGATCAGTATGTCCCTCGGGCTGTTGTTAGAACAGAGCTGCCTTTGCTGTAACTGGTATTAAGGAGCCCCACTGGGAATCAGACTTTGGAGTTTTACCCACTGCAAAGGTTAATTTGAACTGTCAACTTGATTAGATTAAGAGATGCCAGGGATTAAGAGCATTATTGGTATGTCAAGAGGGTGTGTCTAGGAACGATTGCATGTGGGATAGCCAACTGAAATGGGTAGCATCATACAGTGGGCTGGAGGCTTGGATGGAATAAAAGTTGGAAGAACAAGGACACAGCCGCAGATGCAAGCTCAACTCTTGAACGGGTTCTTGATTGCTGCTGTCTGAGGATATTGGATTCTCACTCTTCCAAAGCAGATTTTGTCAGTGGTTCTTCAGAAGCATTTGGTCTCAGACCAGGGCAGCACCTGGTTCCTCTTGTGCTGGGGCTTCAGCCTCTTGGACTGCTCACCTACTGGTTCTTCCGCTTGCAGATGACCATCGTGGACTATCCAGCTTCTGGTCGAGAAAGCCAACCTAATAAGTCCCCCTTTTATAATTATACTTCCTGTTGATTCTGTCCCTCTAGAGAACCCTAACAAACCCATAGAGAGGATGCTCTGCCCAGGACTGCCCAATGTGGACCTAAAAAGCTACTCCCCAGCTATATGACTGAATTTTTTTTTTTTTGTACCAGGGATTGAACCCAGGGGCACTTAACCACTGAGCCACATCCCCCAATATTTTATGGAGATGGGATTTCACTAAGTTGCTTAGGAACTAAGTCGTAGAGGCTGGCTTTGAACTAATGATCCTCCTGCCTCATTCTCCTGAGTTTCAAGGATTATAGGTGTGCACCTCCAAGCTCAGCTCCTTGAAAGATTTTTAAGGTTTTCTAGATGTCTCTTCTTTCAATAACTAGGCTTAAAAAGTAAGTATTGGACTTAAATAACTGGTTCAAAGCAAAGTTCTTCAACCCCCAGTTTGCAAAGACCCCCAGTGTATTGTTTTCCAGTTCCAAAGACAGAAGTTAGAGGGCTGAACCCGAGGGTTTGGACTGTTAATGAGACAGGGATTTAGGGTGTATAGAGAGATATTGAGTCTTGAAGGAAACGCCCATGAGCCTTTGAGACACAGAAAGCACAGTGGGAAACATCGAAGGACATGCACTGGCCCATACCCTTGTAAAACGAGGAAATGCACTGGCATGGACTTGTACAGCTCTACCTGCCTCCACCTTTTGTCCAGCCCTAAGCACAAGCCCCCTATACATATGAACACCTGTACCAATAGGTTTGTGTCTCTCCCTCTGCAGAGCCTGCCCTCTCCCTCAGGGGGAAGGTTCCTTGCTTTACCCAAAGACACCTCTCTTTTGAGACTGAGGCTGTTCTTGAAGAGCACCTGCTTTCCTAAAGACACCTCCATTTACACCTTGGACTGTTGTGTGCTTAAATTCTTTTCCATCCTGGGGTCCTGAGTCACCCGCCCCATCTCTCTGGGAGCTCCTCAAACATTCTCTGAAGACATCTCTTCTCCCAACATAACTCTGGCTCGCTTTATGAATAAAGTCCTTGCTGCTCTGCCACCATGACTTACTTTTAAAAGGACATATTTCATTCTCTTTCTCCCCCTCCCTGATCTCAGGAAAACAGGATTACCTTTCCTCCCCATTCTAGACAGTTACCTGTCCTTGCACACCCACCACAGGGGAACAAGTAATTCAGACTTGGGGAGACACCAGAAGGTCTCAGAAAAGACTCTCATATTAACAAGTGAATTGCAACTCTGGACAGAACACCTGGAATTTAGCTTCTGAATCACCTCTTTAACAGGCCCCTGCTCCCCTTCTGATGGGCAGAATCACAGCCTCTGTGCTGCTCCTTTGCTATTAGAGCAATAAAACTTTTTTCATTTTCTCAAAGCCGTGTCCCAGTGCTGCGCCCCTCCCCTGACTCAGGCAATGGCAAGGCCCTACTGAGGTGGATGGCGCAAGGCGTCCATCCTCTGGAGGAGCACAGTATGTTTCTGGGAATGGGCTGGTTTGTTTTTGTTTTCCTTTAATAAGCATAGTTGTGACTTCTCATATGACCATTAAGTATGAAGGAAAAAACATGAATTTCCCAATTAATGCAACTACTTCTAAGAATAGATCTGTTTGCTCTAAATGCAATGATTCAGCTATGGAGCATAAATTGTTAATATCTAATGAAAAACTCCCTGTATTCCTGTCAAGGAAGTTTTTGAGAAATTAAATTAAAATCTAGAGAAGAAAAATTAATGTTAAGAAGACAGATTAGTGCTTAGTACTGGGCAACTTGTTCTTGTTCCTGTGCACAATGGTTTGTGCTCTTACTCTTGTTTGATTAAAATTAATA